GATTGGAACGCCGGGTATCCTACTCTAACATGATCTTCATCCGAGCCTTCAGTAGGAAGGGGCAGCCTCAACCTACCAGTCGTATCCCCTTGCAAAGCTTTCTCATATTGCTTCTCATTGTAGCTCTAAGACGAAGACGACGCTTCGGCACTCATGATAAAAATTTAAGGTTGGGAAAAAGAAAAAATTAAATTGAATTGTCTTACCAGACAGACAAGAAATTAGATCCATAGAGAAACTGAGCGGACAAGTAAGCTGTTCGAGATTGAGAGGCCAGAGATTTTTGTAGAGGTTGAAATTCGAGAATCTTGTGGAGGGGATTATCAAATGAAGAGTAGGTTATTTATAGTTTCCTGATGAAGAATTGAGGGGACATAATGATTAAAACATGAAACGGCGTGTAAGAAGAATCAATTCGCACACGCCATCAATGTTGAGGTCACCAATGAAACGATGGCACGTGGGGGAGGGGGGTTGCAGTTATTGTCGGGTTCCATAATAAATGGGACGCGCCTTTTCGCAAAAAGATAGCCGTTGTAGGACCGACGCGCCGATTGACAGGCAATAACGGTCGAGTATAGGAACGAGGAGAGAGGAGCTTGTTCAGTCCATCATAAGAATCAGATTCGAGTAGCACGACCGGAGCCCACGCCTCACGTGTTACCCGAATCAGGGGGCCCTTGTAGGGGGTATAGACCGAACGGGTGGAGCCTGCGTGATCTATGCAACAAACACGTATCTCAGCCATCCGAGCGAACGGATCGACCAGGAACAGACCGGATAGGACACGGAACGAGCGCGAGATCAAGTGGAGATCAATCCTCATCATTACCTAAATCCTCCGTACAATCTGCATTAAATGAGGGAAATTATGAAATCTTAATCTAAGAGAACACAATAAAAAGGGACACGTTCCATGATCCGGGCGAGTCATAAATATTGGGATTAGATTGTATGGTACAACAACATTAAATAGGGAATGACTAATATCGCAAAAATATCTTGTAAAAAGATAAAAGAAAAATGAAAAAAAAAATCTCCAAGAGGGAAATGTAACAAGTCCTTAAACTTTCTATATCAGGGAGAAGAGGCAACATTAAATGCAATGAGTAAATGCTCTCATTAAATACTATACAAGTCACGAACAGAGTTTCCATTCAGTCCATTCTACAACCGAACACCATATATATAATCCCCTGTGTCGTGCAGAACCAACCGAGTACACAATTTAGTGTACAGTTCGAACACATTGTTGGTCATATTTTAGACATCAACATGGATCACAAAATTTGTGGAAAAACGAATGAAAGAAACAAAATTGATGCACATAAATATATGTTATCTTTTAGACAAAATTGCCTTGTAAATTACTCACGACTAACGTCTAACGCAACGAAGACGCACCAATTGTCTACTTGTGTATAGTGGTAATTGATTTTGTTATGGAGTCATCTATAGTTATTCACAAATGATGTATTGACACGTGTCATGCAATAAATGCACATTGGACATGTGTCAGTACATAAAGTTATGGATGACTTCATAAGGAGTTATGCAATGGCTCAGTAGAACTTCTGTAGTGTAATACATATAATCGAGCCTTTGATGAACAATACTTTTCTTTGGAACTCTCAAGAATAAAACGAACACATGATGATATATGAATTTTGTGAAAATAATGCGAAGAGCTTTTAAAAATCAAGTGAACAATGAATTAATGTGGTAATTATAGATGTTGGAACATTAGGAGTGGGTTATTACATCTAACGACACCTTTTCGGAAGTGCGCGGTGTGGAAAAGTCGACCAAACCTAAGAGATAACCTTCCGACATCAATAGACGCGTCCAGTCTGTGAGCTCGTCGCGCCTGCGACATGATTTCGTGTCGGACAGGCCGCCAGACACCTGTCTGTCGTCGCAGGCGCAACAAACCCAACATCCCTTAGTTGTCGCGCGTCGTGGGTCGTGTCCTCGTACTCAATGTCTACATGCACAAAGTTGTCATTTTCTGATTCTAACAAAACTTAATTTGACTTAAAGAAAACCCAACTTCAATACATGTTTAACTTCAAAATTATTTATTTATTTATTTTTTTTTTGGTACAGTTCAAAATTATTTTTTCATTCTAACAAAAGAAACCTTATATAAATTAATTAAAATATAAAAAATGTCATGCGCTACTACAACTCTCTCACTCAACCAAAAAAAAAAAAAAAAACACTTATTCGCCAAATCCAGAGCTACTTACATAGCTTTTCCTAACTACTGTATAATGATGAATGAAACAAGTTAATAGCCGGATGACAAAATCTGCCCCATCCATAATCGAGCAGTTTCAAGCATATCATGTCATAGGACTAAGAGCCCATCTCCGCTAGCAACATCGTCTTGAAAGTATTCGTCGACGTTGACCCACTCGAGATCTTGAAACGAATCCTCAATCGGAATGTGATCGGCCCACCTTGCAAACTCATCGGAATCTTCCAAGCTCGGCACGTCATCAAACAACTTTTCATCCTGCGGTTGAAAATTGAAGAAGGAATCCAAGAATGGCAAGTCCATGGGCAAGTACTCATTAGAGTATTCGGGCACCACACTTGTTTCACCTTGACACTCCTTCACAGGCTGAACCGGTTCGGGGAAACAGACGGGCCGGCTCACCTCATTAATAACCGGACCCTCCATCACCTCATTATCCCGGACCGAGGCTGACAGGCTCGGCTCCTGGCCCACGCTCCTGAACCGGAGCACGGAGGTGGGCGAAAGCAG